ATAGGTTAAAGACTTAAATGTAAGACCGATACAATAAAACTCCTCTAAGAAAACAGAGAGGAAGCTCCTTGACATTGGTCTAGGAAACGATTTTTTTAGATAGAACCCCAAGAGCACAAGTAACAACAATAAAAATCATCAAATGGGAATATATCACACTAAAAAGCTTCTGCATGAACGAGAAACATTTTTTAAAAAATGAAGATTGGGGTGCCTGGGTGGCTCAGTCAGTTAAGCATCTGCCTTCAGCTCAGGTCATAATCTCAGGGTCCTGGGATTGAGCCCAGCATCGGGCTCCCTGCTCAGCAAGGGGGTCTGCTTCTCCCCCTCCCTCTGCCTCCCTGTCTTCCACCCCATCGCTCCTACTCTCTCTCTCAAATAAATTTTAAAAAATTGAAGACAATCTATGGAATGGGAAAAAATACTTGCAAACTATTTGAGGAGTTAATACCTAAAATATATAAAGAACCCCTACAATTCAGTAATGAGAAAAACAATTGAATTAAAAATGGGCAGAGGAACTACATGGACATTTTTCCAAAGATATAAAATGGCCAGCAGCCTTTTTTTTCTTTCATTTAAAAAAAGTAGGTTATGTTTATTTAAAGTCACAAGCAGTTGACTATCTCCATGTGACTCAAGACCCAAAGATACCATTTCTATTTTACTCCATTTCAAGCCCTAGGGTGGGGCCCAGACTGGTAGGGGTGATGCTTGGGGGCCATTCACATAAAAAGACGCTCAACATCAGTCATCATCAGGGAAATGCAACTCAAAACTGCAATAAAATATCAACTCACACCTTTTAGAATGGCTGTCATCAAGATGACAAGAAATAACAAGCGTTGGCAAGGATGTAGAGAAAAAGGAACTCTTGTACACTGTTGATGTAAAGACAAAGTAGTACAGCACTATTTTTTTTTTAGTACAGCACTATTGAAAACAGTATGGAAGTCCCTCAAAACACTAAAAAGAAAACTATCATCTGATCCCACAATTCTATTTCTAGATATACATCCAAAAGTAATGAAAATAAGATATCAAAGAAATATAAGCACGCCCATGTTTATTGCAGCATTACTCACAAAGGCCAAAATATGGAAAAAACTTGTCTATTTATGATAAAAAAGACAAGATGTATGTATGTGTGTATGCAACAATGTAGATGGGCAATGCTAAACCAGATAAGTCAGAGAAAGACAAATATTATATGTTATTACTTACATATGAAACTGAAAAAAGCCAAACTCACAGAAACAAAGAGTAGATTGGTGGTTACCGGGGACTAGGGGGTGGGGATTGGGGAGATGTGGTTTAAGGATACAAACTTGAAACCAGTAGATAAGCCAGTCCTGATGATCTTAACGCAAAACATGGTGATGACAGACAATAATGTATTTATAAACTTCAAAGAGATGAGAGACTAGATCTTAATTGTTCTCACCAGGAAAAAAAAAAAAGATAATTCTGTGATATAACAGTGTTAGCTAACAAGGGCACCTGGGTGGCTCGCTAGTTAAGCAACTGACACTTGGGTTTCAGCTCGGGTCATGATCTCAGTGTCCTGAGATCAAGCCCCAGGCTGGGCTCCATGCTCAGCTTGGAGTCTCCTCGAGATTCCTCCTCTCACTGCCAGCCATGAGCTTTCCTTCTAAAGTAAATAAATAAATAAAAACTTTTTTTTAATTTTTTTTAATTTTTTAAATATTATCTTTTTTTTTTAATTTTTATTTATTTATGATAGTCACACAGAGAGAGAGAGGCAGAGACACAGGCAGAGTGAGAAGCAGGCTCCATGCACCGGGAGCCCGACGCGGGATTCGATCCTGGGCCTCCAGGATCGTGCCCTGGGCCAAAGGCAGGCGCTAAACCGCTGCGCCACCCAGGGATCCCAAATAAAATCTTAAAAAAAAAAAAAAATGTTGGGACACCTGGTAGCTCACCGGTTGAGCACCTGCCTTTAGCCCAGGGCATGATCCTGGAGTCCTGGAACTATGTCCCACATCAGGCTCCCTGCATGGAGCCTGCCTCTCTCTGTGTGTGTCTCTGCCTCTCTCTGTGTCTCTCATGAATAAATAAATAAAATCTTTTTTAAAATAAAAAAATTTAAAAAGTGCTAGCAACACAACAGTGGTAATCATATGACAATATATAAATGTATCAAATCAATATGTTGTATACCCAAACTAATGTAATAGGTCAATTATATTTCAATAAAAATTTAATTTTCTTTAAAAAAAAAAGTCACATCATTTTGCCCTTACACTTACCATTTTATTGCACATCCTAATACCCAGCATTATAATAGCCACCAAGCAGCAGTAGTAGTAGTACCATGTGCCAGACCTTGTCCTGAGCACTTTGAAATTTTTTTATGGCAATAACCCTATAAATTAGGAACTATTATCCTCATATTGCACATGAGGAAACTAAGGCAAACGGAAGTTAAATAAGTTGTCCAAAGTTAAAAAGCCAGTAAGTGGCAGAGCAAAATTTTGTACCAAGGCAATCTGTTCCCTCCCAAATCCATGCTCATAACCACTACTACACTTTACTACCTATTAATCATCTATTTTGATGGGGAGGGGGTCATTATAATTAATAAGTATATTCCCCATCCAAATATTTAAGTATTAAAGTCTAAAGAAGGTCTTATTCTGTACTTCATTTTCTGCCTAAACAGCTCTTTTTCTACATTCTCAAAAATATTGCATCAAATGTATGTTTAAACTCCATAGATATGTCCCTTGAGTCTTCATTTATGTCTTTCTTCTTAAACACCTTCTCAGGCACCAGGTGTCTGAGCATTTCCTACAGCTGTGCTGGAGTTGCTAGAGGGAGCCCGCCCTCTAGTGGTCCCATGCTGATATGCAGCCAGATTAAGCATTCACAGAAAGTGCTCCAATGTCCTCTTTCCTATTACAGGTTCAGTGGCAGGGCCCACGTAAGAAAGAATATTAAAAAGCAAGTAACCCATAATGGGTCTTAACCATTACTGTATTTAATTGAGAGGATAACACGATCCTCAGGCTGAGAGGGCAGAACATGAGGTCACTCTAGACAATTATTTTACTCTCAGCTCAGATACAGGCAATTCAAGTATACTAGAGCTTTATAAAAACATACTACCCCTGTATCTTGATGTCTTTCAAAAGGGGACTGAAAATCACTACTGTGAAATCTGAAATAAATGCCAAACTATAAAATTGCTGTGAAAACAATCACAAGCCTCAGGTTCAAGGGACCTGAAAATAAAGATGACTCTTTTTGCTTTGCTTTTCTCAAGAGAATATGCTCCTGAGTAGACATCCTACAGTCACAAACCATATGTATTCTCTTTGTGTAGTTAAGAGGCAATAACAGAAATGGATTTTCAGAAGCTAGAAGATAACACATAACCAAAATGTAATGTAATCTAAGTTATAATAAAATGAGACAGCTACCAAACCTACCCACAGCTGTGTTTTACGATCATTTTTCTTTTCCGAGGTCATAGGGTTTATGTACCCAAGTAAAATTTTTCTTCATCACTGCTTTTCTGAACCCTAAAACTGACAAAGACTCTGGAGCACATAAAGATTTTCTGCAACTATGACAAGGCATATAAGGAATGCTTAACATCATGTAGCTAGGAACAATCCTGAGAATGAGTAAAAGAAGGAATATACCCAACTTATTGATTTCTAGTCCTTCTTCACTGAAATCACTATTAATTCAACAAGTATTTAATGAGCACCGACTATACAAAAAGGTATTTGGAAAATACGGTGAGTAAAATGAAGACATGGTCCTTATATTCAAAGAATCTACAAACTAATAAGAAAGAGAATTTCAACAGCAACCCAAATAAAACAAAGAGATCATTTTTTCAGACCAGGAGGATATGTAACATTTCATGAAGTAGTATTTGCACTAGCTTTATGAAATGGAAAGGATTTCAACAGGCAGGAAGATACCCTAGATAGAGGGAATTTTAGCAAGCATTCAGTGCTCACAGTGCCAATGGCATCTGAAGAATGACTAGTACCCTAGTCTCAGGAGCATACTGTGAGTGGAAGGGAAAACAGAGTTGAGGATGAAATGGTACTATGGGTTTTATTCTGTAAGCAAAGGAAAATCATTAAAGACAATAAGTCACAGAAGAAAAGGCACGAGCAGGGCTGGGTTTAGGAAGAGGATTTCTGGAGGCAACAGGTAAGCTGAATTGGAGCTAGAGAAAAAGAAAGGTAGAGGCAAGCCACCTGTCTAGAAGGTTATCAGAATGGAGGAAATGGAGTAATAAACGTTCACACTACAACTGTGAAGGGAGATACAAATGTTTAACTGAGAGGACTGAGCTAAAAAAAAAAAAAAAAAAAAAAGATTGTCCACATTTTTCCCCAAATAAAACCTGAGGTTTATGATACACTTCTATCAATGACAGTGCCTCATAGCCTCAGTAATGATAAGAAAGGCCATGGTTAGGAAAGCCATCTAGGCTCTACTCTAGGAGAGCAAATGGAGGAGGTACATCAGAATCTCTGGAGGGAGCAGCATGTTATTTAAAAAAAAAAGAAAAAAAAAGAAAGAAAGAAGGCTAGCACATGTATCATTCTGATTCACCTTCTGTGAAAAATCACTGAATGAGAACTCCAAGATCCTTCTGGGTTCCAAAGTTTATGGTTCTGAATCAGTTCCACCTCTTACACTGATTCTCCTCATTTATGCTGATGATAGTTCTGGAATATGAGAGGTGGCCTAGATCATGAAGACAATCTGAAGCAAATGAAGTGAACTGTACCAGCAAATAAATAATTCATATAAATGATCTGTATAAGGAGTGCTCTGTGGGTTTAGAACCATGAGCGTACAAGTCTAACCCAAACTTAAAAGCCCTATTCCTTAAGAAAAAGAGTAATAGATATAAAATGTCTGTTTATTACCTACTGGCCCATTTATATTGGATCAGTTATATTAAAAAGGCACTGAAATAGGCAAACCAAAAGATAAAGGAGACACTACCTTTTTCCACATTTTTAATTACCATTATTGCACCAATACAGCATACGCTTTATATACATATATTTTAAATTTCATTTTTAATTTCAGCAATTCAAATACATAATATATTATCATCTTGAGAATACAAAGAACACAACATGGAGGAAGATTGAGAAAATAGGTTCCCAGTAGTTAGTCACTAGTGATTCTATAGAACTTTCCATTTAGTGTTTTCTATTCGAATTTTAAAATGTCCTGCCATGGCTCTGTAAGAATAGAGCTGCCTGGAACAGGAGGCAATGAAAAAAAAATGGACCCAAAGTTAAAAAGTTAAGAAAGAAATCCAGAAGAGAGAATGCATTTTGAAACTAAATATAAGACTCCCTTCAGTCCGAGTGTACACATCCAAAGAAGTGCTAAAGGAAGAAAAGATATCCTCCCAGTTCATTCTCAAAATTGCCCATTAACGAACAAAATAGATAGTGCCCATTCATCTAAGAAAGGGAATTCTCTTCACAGCATCGTAAAAGGAATGGTGGGGTAGAGGGAAGGGAAAGTGGTGGGAGAGTAAGTTGCTTCTGAGATGCCCTAGGTGACAATGTATCAAAGCCATCACTCAGGCAAACCTCTCACAGCTAGCTTCATGGACTCTCCGACTTCCTTCATAAACGATGATGTATGGAACAGCAGCTTTCTACTATTGAAGAGCTAGATGGACTGAAAAATAAATGTTTATGGAAAGGGGCCAGATACCCAGGCAGCAAGGCAACGTGGGTACTGAAAGAGAGTTATGTGCTTTCAACCCCTCTGCTCTACATATCAGGTTAAAAACTCTAAACCCTTCAACTTCAGGTCAAATAATAGGGCAAATACAAAGTAATGCCACACTTCAAATGCAGCAACTAGATGGAGCTGCAAGAAAGTAAACACTTCTCTACAACCTAACTTGGGAAACATGGTCCCCTGAATCTCCTTCATCCAAGAGACCCAGTAGTCAAAGATGTTGCACCATTCAACAAACAAAAGAACAGTGAAAGTGCCACCGACAAAACCCTCTTAGCATAGGAAGAAACATGTAAACACATGACAGGGTGATGGAGCTGCACCCAGCACTGGATATTCACTGAGCAGGATAAGCCTGAAGGAGGATATATAACAGAGACCCAGGACCCCAGAGAGAGGAAACTCTTCATACCTATCCCAATCAAAACTCTGAATTTGTAAACACTGAGGCCACTCAGTCCATTTTTAGGGTCTTAGGTTAATGGAAAAGGAAATTTCAAGGTTTCTGTCTCCCCTGAAATTGCTAAATAGGGCTTCACAAAGAGGCACACAGGGTCATGAGATGATTCAGAATTAAGTTAAAAAATTGAAATGATGGAGAAAAATTTTACAGATGGTAGAGTTCATTCCCCCCTCAAAGAGACATGGCCTTCTGGGCCCTGCATAGTCAGCCACAAGTATGATAAGACCTGCCTTACTAGTGAACAGGAGATAAGGACATACTTTCTTGGCTGTACAGCAAGTAACAACATAGGGGAGTGACATAAACCAATTTGAATGCAATGGAGAAGCTATGAAAAAGATTGTCCAGTAATTTTGGTTCTGGGGAGAGAAGGGGTTCCTAACTTCCCTCACAGATTGGTGCCCTCAAGGTCATTTTTTTCTTCAAGTCTGTTCTTAATGTCCTGCCAATGCTATTCAGAACTGGACCCAGTTGGATGGCTGTGGTGCCTGGTTTGGAACAGAGCTGCAAGACAGGAGAACAGAGAGAAAGCCAAAGAAATTAGGATAGCTACTCCATTCTTCAATGTAATAGCTTCCGAGAAATTGCTGCCCAGAATTTCTAAAACTGTATCTCCAGAAAATCTACTTATTGAGGCTTGATATCCCACTTCCAACTCCATCCTACAGCTTTCTTACCCCACCATCCCCAGCACTCCTCTACTTCCTTACCTAGAATTCCTGCCAAGCACTCTGTATGACCTGCAAATGCCCTGCTTTCCCAGAACAAGATTTCATTTGACTGTAACATATCCTCTGTACCCTGAATGAGAGTACTGTGGTTTCACTAGGCTCATACCTGGATGCAGTGCTAAAGTCTCCCCACAAGTCATTGCTTGCAGAAACTGGAGCTGGTGCTGATGTAGGGACAGGAGCAGGAGAATCCAAATCTAAGAGGATATCTGAACACACAGTAAAGAGAAAAAAAAAAAGAAAAAGGAAAACATAATAAAAATCTTAGAAATAAAAATGTATTATCAAACAAAAAGCTATATGCAAATGTTCACAACTTTATTTGTAATAGACAAAAACTGGAAATGACCCAGATGTCTTTCCATGAGTGATGGTTAAATACGCTGTTCTATGTCCACACCATGAACCACTACTCAGCAATAAACAGAAACTATTAATAAACACAACTTGGATGAGTCTCAAGGAAATTATGCTGAGTGGAAAAAGCCAATCCCCAAAGGTTACGTACTCTATGATTCCATTTATATAACATTCATGAAATGATAAAATTACAGAGATGGAGAAGAGATTAGTGATTGCATAGAGTTAGTGAGGGGGTGTGAGGCAGGATGCAGGAGGTAGGTATGGTTATAAATGGATGACATGAGGGATCCTTGTACTGATGGAGCTGTTCTGTTTTCTGATCATGGTTTGTACTGATGGAGCTGTTTTGTTTCCTGACCATGGTGATGGATCTAGGAACCTACACACGATAAAAGTGCATAGAACTAAAAACACACACATACACACAAATGAGAATACATAAATCTGGTGAAATCTAAATAAAATCAGTAAATGGTATCGACATCAATTTCCTGGTGATATTTGACTTTGGTTTTGCAAAATGTTACCACTTAGGGGAACGAGGTAGAGGGAACAAAGGATTTGTCTTATTTTTTTACAACTTCATGTGAATCTACAATTATCTTAAAAATAAAAACATTAAAAAAATAATAAATCTTAGACATTATCCCTGTAGAAACTTATGAAAAGTAGGATATAACCATTTTTACCTCAAAATTCCAGAAAGAGAAAGTTTATTCTTAGCAATCAATGATATAAATGCTCTGCATCCCCACAATACATTAGGCTAAAACTCCAGGTTCTACTATCTGCTTCTCTAATCTTTGGAAAATTTCTTTCCAAGTTCTAATGTTCTCATTCTCAAAACAGAAATAACTCTATTCTTGAAAAAGAATAGACCACCAACCACCAGATAGTACAGAAGAGTGAAAATATATTCATAAACCCAGGTGCTGTCTAATTTTCTCCCAACTGCCTTTGTGAAGAAACAGAAAAGATTAAAAAATAACATTTACTAAATGGCTACTATGTTTCATGGATCATGCTAGGTGCTGTCACATCATTTAACCTTTACAATCCTGGGGCAATTTTAAAGTCTCCATCTTGCAGATAAGGATATTCAGACCAAAAAATTTAAATAATGTTACTAAATCCATTCAGATATAAAATAGCAGAGTTATGACCAAAATCTTAGTCCATCTGATTCTCAAGCCTACTAGCGTCTAACCAAGGTACAATGAAGAAATTAGTCTTTTTAACATCTATTCATTTTCTGACAAAGAACCTACCAAATACCATGACTCTCAGTTCATTAGAAAAGTTTTAATTCCTTACTAGAGGCTGCAAGAATCACCTTGTCAGTACCAAGTGCCATTTATTAGCAAAAACATCAACTCTCTCTTTGGCAAAGAGGTGCTACCCAATTAAAACCTAAGATACGATGATTCCTCAAAGTTAAAATTAATAGATTTACCTGCATCACTACCTCCATGGTTAGATTTTGGAATGGGTGGTGGAGTGACATGATTGCTGATAGCAACTGAGGAGGATGGTGGGGGAATAGTGACTTTGCCTCCAGGTGGGGGTGGGAGCAAGCTTAAACCCCCAGCCCCTGTGGTCTTGGGCTTAGAAACACCTCCCTTCTTGGTTGTAATGTTCTACAAAGAGAAAACAGAGAAGAGAAAGAAAAAGTCACAAGCTTATTATAGAAATAGAGGGAGTAGGGGAAAGAAACCATACTTACCCCAATACTCAACTTGATAGTCTGTCCTTCCTTGAAGCCCAGATCCAACTTGGGACGATTGTCCATTTCCTGAGATTCTTTGGAAATCTCAGATTCCTGCTTTACCCACCTTCAGTAAAAGAGTAAATTATCTTAATTTGGGATCACCTGAAAGCAGAGTCCAACACACAAATTTGAGTGTAACTAACTTATGTGAAACAGGATTCCAGAAAGCAGAGTGAGGGAACATTAAGAATGAGGAAGGAGGGATCCCTGGGTGGCGCAGCGGTTTGGCGCCTGCCTTTGGCCCAGGGCGCGATCCTGGAGACCCGGGATCGAATCCCACGTCAGGCTCCTGGTGCATGGAGCCTGCTTCTCCCTCTGCCTGTGTCTCTGCCTCTCTCTCCCTCTCTGTGTGACTATCATTCATAAATAAATAAATAAATAAATAAATAGATAAATAGATAGATAGATAGATAGATAGATAAATAAATAAATAAATAAATAAATAAATAAATAAATAAATAAAATGAGGAAGGAAAGGAAGAAAAGCCAAGAAAGAGGGCAACAGGGTTCAGTATCACTGAGGAACCACACAGAATACATATTTAACCTGTCCCTCCAAAGGAGGGCATTTAGTTGCCAATTCCCATACTCCATGTTTGAGGGCTGCCCCTGAGGGAGTGTTAATTCCTCAGTCCTTCCAGGCTGCATCCCTGTGCCAACTGAGTGGATTTCCACAATTTCAGAGTTCTGAGGCAGAAAAGCAGAATTATGCCTATGCATGCCCTTAAAGTAGGAAGTTGACAGTGTGCACGGTGCTATGCGCTACCACTGTGCCAAAACCAGGTGGGCTGAAGAAATTTTATCACAGACATAAAACATGTAAACTATACAACATAACAAAACTGGCACACAACTCCCCAGAAACCTCCCATACAGCCCTGTTTCTGCATGCTCCTCTCAGCCACTTAAAACCAAGTGCCAATTCCCCAAAGATAGAAGTAAAAGCATCTCAAAACACTGTACAAGGAACCAAAAACAGATTCCAGGCTACAAGGAAAGAACACATAAGATAATGTAAGGAAACAGTAAATGGGAAGATTCCAATGCATAATGAACTAGCTGACCAAATACAGAAACCAGGAGGTAAAAGAAATAGCGTCCATTCAACTGAGAAGGAGCACTTCCAAAACCTTTTAACCAGGTAACTAAAGGACAAGTTTCACTCACTTGAAGTGATCTTGCAAGGAAACGTTAAAGTCAAAGGCATCACCCCGATCTGTGAAGCCAATGCCAATGAAAGCACTACGCCCTGTGAGAAAAACAGAAATACTCACAATAAGAAGTATCCCTTAGGGAATATTGCACCCAGTGAAAATTAACAGTTACCTTAACTAGATCAAGTCCATAAATGTGAAACATTCTTTCACAGCCCAGGAGACCATGGACTACATGCAGCCCAAGGGCCAAATGCTGCCATCGCTTGTCTTTATAAATAATGTTTTACTAAACATAGTTACCCCAATCTGTATTAAATACTATCTATGGCTGCTTTCATACATCAGTAGAATTGAGTAGCTACAATAGAGAATGAAAATCTAAAATATTTACTATCTGTGTCTTACGAGAAAAAGTTTGCCAACCTCTGATACAGACTACGGAAAAGAGAGAATGATTGCCCTACACATAGGTGACTTAAGGCAGTCCACCAAAACCCACTACAAACAATGAATGGATAGGCAATATGTATTAATTCTTTGGTTAGCTAGATATTTTGATTTATTTATGTCTACGTATTATCACGTCTTGAACTTGTGTTCGTATCTATTACAAATAACATGTTAATCCTTGTCCTTTAGCAGCTATAGTTAACTGTGGAGAAAGGGGAGGAAAAAATTAGTAAACTTAAATACGATAAACGCAACTGGGACACACTTTCATTGAAGTGTATTACCCATCTACCTAATCTCATGTCATTCAAAATCCCAGATTCCTTACCAGTACCATCCTGGATCCGGATTACAAAGTAGCGGCTGGAATCTGTCACGGTCTCCACAGCAATACCAGGATATTGTTCTACTGGTGCCTGGGCAAAGAGTTCCCCTGATAGGTAAGTAAAAGACTTCTTTAAGCAAAGGAAGTAAAAATCTATAACTATTCTGTTCACAAGTATTTCCATTCCAATCCCAATTTAAATATACTTACAAAAGTGCATCAAACTAATACTCTTAATATGTTAGAGTCACCAGCACAGATTACCTGAAACTTTATCCTCAAGTTTGATATACGCGATCTTCCCTTTTGAAGTGATTCGGAGGCGACCAGTCCAATCAGGCTGATCTAATTTCCAGTCAGATGCCCTAGGATAGGAAAATAGGAAGCCTCCAATTCACGTCTTTAATTACTAAAAATCTATACAGAATCATTTGCCATATTTGTTTCGCTGTCCTGGGTTGCTTACTCTTTCTACCTGTTAATCAATAAGAATAACTCACAATCCCCTCTACAGAGGGTCACTGCTACATATAGCCCAAAGCAGATAAATCCTTACTACTTAAGTATTGGCCAATAAACATCAATAAAAACATGTTAAGTACAAACACAAGCAATTTTTTTAAATTACCATAATGATAACTATTTCCGTACCACAGATAATAATTTATATAAACAGTGTTTTACTGATCAGGTAACAACAAAGTCTACTAAAGGAATTATAGCGGGTAACAGAAGCCTTCCCAAATCCCTAAACGTATTATCTTTCACTGAATTCAACCAATATCTACAGAGTGAGTTGGGATACAACAGTGAATGAACAAAATAAAAACTCATATCCTCGTGAGGTTTACAATAGAAAACAAACAGTAAAAAATCATTAAAAATAAGTAAGACAATCAGTATCTCAGAAGATGGTTAAGTGCTAAAGTAAAAAAATGCAGAGGCAGAAAAAGGATATTGGGAGGGTAGTACAAGAGCAAACAGGTTGCAGCATTCAAGAGGGTGGCTGGGGAGGACTTATTCATAAGGTGAAATGTGAGTAAAACTGTGAAGGAAGCAAAAGTTACTTATGCAGATATTGGAGGAGCGGGGAGATTCCATGATTGTAACAATAAGTGCAAAGGTACTATGGTGGGAGTGTGAATGGAATGTCTGCCCTCAAAAAAAAAAGAAGCTGCTGCAGTAAGAATAAAATAAATTAAGAGATGAGGTGGAAGAGGTAACAGGGCCAAATTTTATGGGCCTTACAAGAACTCTGGCTTTGATTCTGAGTGAAGGAGAAACCAATACAGATTTTAAGCAGAGGTGAAAGATGATCTTCCTTTTTATCTGAGAGTAATTATTGTTTTAAAGATTTATTTATTTATTTTAGGAGGAGAGAGAGAGGGATCTCTGGGTGGCTCCGTGGTTGAGCGTCTGCCTTTGGCCCAGGGCGTGATCCTGGAACCCCGGGATCGAGTCCCACTTCGAGTCCCACTTCGGGCTCCCTGCATGGAGCCTGCTTCTCCCCCTGCTTGTCTCTCTAATGAATAAATTAAAATATTTTTTAAAAAGGGGGGGGGGAGAGAGACAGAGAGATAGAGAGAGAGAGAATGCACTCGAAGGGAGGGGCAGAGGGACAGAATCTCAAGCAGAGACACCCTACCCCCTGCTGAGCATGAAACCAGACACAGAGCTCCATCCCATGACCCTGAGATCATGACCTGAGCCAAAATCAAGACTTGGATGCTTAAACTACTGAACCACCTAAGCACCCAATCTTTTTATTTAAAAGGATTACTTTGTTGTATATAGAAGCAATGTAGGGATGTAAGTGCTGAAGCACAGGGATTAAGAGACCACTGTAGTAATCTAGGAGTCATGATGGTGACTAGGAAGACAGAGCAGCAATAGAGGCTAGATTCTAGATATAAAGTAAAGAAGCAGGATTTTCTAATGGATTTAATGTGAGGTAGAAGAGAGAAGTCAAGAATGACTCTTTTAAGATTTTAGCCTGAGCAAAGGAGCTGCCAAAAACTGAGACAGAGAGGCTATAGGTATAACAAGATCTTTCTGGGAAGAAAGATCAGGAGTTCAATTTTGAATATGCAGTTTGAGATGTCAAATATATTTTCAAGCAACAATACAGAGAAGGCATCTGAATAGGAGTCTGGAGTTTAGGAAAGACGTGGGCTACAGATATAGATGTGTATGGAAACACTATACAAAACACTAAATACTCATTAAGGAAAAAAAAAAAAAAGGACACCTGGGTAGTTCAGGGGTTGGGTGTCTGCCTTTAGCTCAGGGCGTGATCCCAGATGGGGGGATCAAGTTCCACATTGGGCTCCCTGCGGGGAGCCTGCTTCTCTCTCTGCCCATGTCTCTGCCTTTGTGTCTCTCATGAATAAATAAATAAAATCTTAAAGAAAAAAAAACACACACTAAATGCTTATAATCTGTGTGATAAATGAATTTGAAAGAAATCTAAGACATTTAAATACGACGAATTTTACAAAGCACCGCATTTGTGATTTTGTTTTGTCAGCATGTGAGGAAAAAAAACAAAATAAGTTATTAATAACTCACCCTGGGGCACCTGGCTGGCTCAGCCAGTAGAGCAACTGACTCTTGATATCAAGGTTATGAGTTTGAGCCCCACGTTGGATGCAGAGATTACTTAAAAATTAAATCTTAAAACAAAACAAAACTTATTCCTTAGAAACCTGAAGACTAACACTTGCAAGTTAGAAAGGTAACAGTATATCTAAACAAGAATAAGTTTAACAAGGGGATCCCTGGGTGGCTCAGCGGTTTAGCACCTGCCTTCCGCCCAGGGCATGATCCTGGAGTCCTGGGATGGAGTCCCACATCAGGCTCCCTGCATGGAGCCTGCTTCTCCCTCTGCCTATGTCTCTGTGCCTCGAATGAATGAATGAATGAATGAATGAATAAAATCTTTAAAAAAAAAGAAAAAATTTAACAATGTGGAAGGAGAAAAATGAAAATTAGCACAGGTTTTGAACAGGATTTATAAGATAAATCTTTGTCATGTCCTCCTCTCTTGATGGCATGTCTCAAAGACGCTAAGTACTTGAATCTGATCCAGACTACAACGCTTAAAGGTCCTGTATTTTAATTTTTTTTTTAATGAGTCATTACTTCTATCATGCCACCATGAGCTAAACATAGTGTGCTGAATATATTACAAACAAGCCTACTAGGTATGTTTCCTGGGACAGGTTCCCTGTCTTATAAATATCTTGCAAGTCTAGTGGCCAATATTGAACAAATTCTCAATAAGTGAATGGATATTCCCAGCAGCAGTTTCCCTCAGCTCTGAGCCTTATTTCCTTTCCCACTCCCAAGACTAGCCTGAGGAATTTTTGGTTTCACTGGTCTTCTGAACTGACTTCACAAATTTTCATTTACCTCAGTAATAAATCCTTACAACCACCATGTAGAATAGGCATGAAAAGCCTATCAGCTCTGTCTCTCTAAATGAAGAACTGTAACACAGTAATAATGCCTAACTTCAAAATCTAGTGTTCCTCTCACTACATTAAAACAGACTATTGAGTTTACTATTGATTTAGATGAGGAGGAGGGCAATGATGAATATAAAAACAGTTTTATAGGTTGGGAAACTATTTCTTAATCATGCATAACTTTCTCATCGATCTAAATTGTCACTGAAAGCTGAGAAGCAATAGCTTACACTAGGTGATCAAAGTCGTTCATTCCCTCTAATCTTATTAGTCACTCAAAAAAAGTATTTATCCTGCTTCCTAAAAATCCTAGTTTTTCCTTTAATGGCAGCGTAAAGGAGAAGTCATGCTCATAATGTAAAATGGGTTCTGTAAAAAAGATTAGACAGACAAAAAGACATAAAAGTAACATTTATCAAGCATCTATTATGTGCCAAGCATTATGCCCATTTTTATGAATATTGAGAGGATACTGCAAGGTAATTAGTAGTATATCCATTTTTACAAATAAGAAAACCAAGGGCAGCCCAGGTGGCTCAGCGGTTTAGCACCACCTTTAGCCCAGGGCCTGATCCTGGAGTCCTGGGATCGAGTCCTACATTGGGCTTCCGGCATGGAGCCAGCTTCTCCCTCTGCCTGTGTCTCTGCCTCTCTCTCTCTCTCTCTCTGTCTCTCATGAATAAATAAAATAAAATCTTTAAAAAAATAAGAAAACCACAGTTCAAGTTAAGTGTCTTGCCAAAAGCAAATAAACAGGAATCTCACTGTAAACAGTGTTCTCTTCCTTCAGTGATAAAATGCCTCTTGGAGGATAAGAAATGTCAATAATAAACATGGAAAACATAGATAACAAGAAAAAGAGGAAAATTAAATTGTTTTGATGGCTCAGTGCAGTTAACTGATATAAGGATAAAAGGCTGTGGATAAACCAGGAAGTGAACACAGAGAATACAGATGGGTGAAACAAAGAAGGTCTTTAAAAAAAAAACCTGAAAGTAAACAGTTCAATCAATGCTAACCTATGTGATTAAATGTAATCTACTGATTTCTTTCATGTGCCAGATACTATACTAGACCCTGGTACCATAAAATTAGGAAAGACCTCAAGTTGTTCATAACTAGACTGGAGAAGCAGAAGATAGAGCAATTAATTATAATACAGAAAGAAGAGTACTAGGACAGAGATAAGCAAAGGCACTACGGAACCACACACAGAGCATTCCAAAGCCAGAATGGAAGTGTCAAGAGGGGCTGATGTCTCAGCTGAATCACACAAATTACTACATATAACTTCCATCAAAAACCATGTTGATTCCTATTCATGGTCAACTTGGGAATCCGAATGAAAGACTGGACTACCTCTTTGCCAAAAGGTACAACCTACAGGGTCTAATGCACAGGTCAGTAAGCACAAAGATACTGATTCATGATGAATGAACCTCCAGTAAGGAGGCAAAATAATGGACACAGGAGGAAGACAAGAGCCAAAATGATACTAAATGCCAAGAGGAAAATCATGATGGTGATGTGGGTCAGAGAACAATAAGAACAATATCTTATATCCTTATATGCTGCTTTACTGTTTCCTAAATGCTTTCACATTTATTATATTATTTCATTTAACCCTTCAAAAACTTCTTTGAGGTACATAACTAGAGCAGGTTTTATTATGATTTTCCCCCCTATTTCACAGATGAGAAAACTAAGGCTTGGAAAGGCGAAGAGATTTGCCCCAAATCATACAGCTGCAAAGTTTTCAGAGTCCATACTCATATTTTTTAACATGCAACCCAGTTAACATGTTAACTCTTTCCACTACATGACTTCCGACTTCCTACAGCATCCTCAGAACCTCATCGTCATGAGATGATTACATGGTGGTTAGTTAGCCCTAGAGAGAAAATGCTGTATTAATTCGAGGGAAAAAGCTATGGGAGAGGTCAGGAAGGGAGGGAAGGAAAATAGGAAATACTATGTTTTCATCAAGAAAAGGTACTAAAAAGAAACACAATGATGGATATAATCATAACCCCTGCCCACTAGGAAAAGAACTGAAGGGAAAACCAAATGGTGGATATTTGGTAGCAAGACAACAGCACAGAAGATAAACTATATCACCTACAGAATGACCAACACAATAATTACCAACAAATGCGCACTGGGTACTGGAAACGTGTGTGAGTGGGAGGGCGGGAGGGGGTTACGACAAGGGTGACAAACTGAAGGACGCAGGAAAAAAACGAACGAAAGGTGATCGGCGATGGAGCAGGCACGGCTGGATGTGGAGGAAGGGGAGCAGATGGGTAACTCAGAGGGGCCCGAGGAGCGGTGGGAGGATGCAGATGGTAATTCTTTTTTTAAAGCGGTAATGGCATTCCACAGTGAGGAAAGACCAGAAAGGCACAGTAATAACAACCCAGGTGGGGAGGCTAGCAACGTGACAACCCAGAGACGGCAGTGACAAGGGACTCGCAGCGTGCTACCTGAGAAGAAAACTGTCATCCCCGACCCGGTATGCGTGTGCTGCAGTGCCTCGGGGTCAGTACCTGTAACCGCGGTTAGAGGCCCGGGGAGGAATCCGGTAGACGCTAACGTCGGGCTTCACACACAGAACAGACTCGTACTCCAACTCGGCCGCCATTTTGGCTCTGCACTCCGCGCCACCGGGGCGGGGCATAGGAACGGGGAAGGCCGTGGGGGGGGGTGAGTTGGGCTGTACGCTACTTCCGCTTACGCTACTTCCGCGCGAGTTTAGCTTGGTTCCTGAAATTAACCTCCAGAGGTACGGGTTGGGGAAGCCATATTGAAAGCAGGAAACTGTGAAGCTACACTGTTCGCCATCTTGGGTAATGGCAAAACTGCCTTTTCAGCGCGTGATGCACGTTATGGAAATCTCCATTCCCGAAAGGTGATTAGGGAAAGGCGCCATCTTGCTGCGGGCTGGTGCTGCAGTGCTTAGGGAAGAGGTGGACCATCTTGAAATCTGGAGAACTTTTTTCTGACGAGAACCACTTTTAACCATAATTTCCAGGCAGAAGAGAGGTATTTGCGGGCAGCCCCGGTGGCGCAGCGGTTTGGCGCCGCCTGCAGCCCGGGGGTGTGATCCTGGAGTCCCGGGATCAAGTCCCACGTCGGGCTCCTTGCCTGGAGCCTGCTTCTCCCTCTGCCTCTCTCTCTGAATAGATAAATAAATATTGAAAAAAGAAAAGAGGTATTTGCTCGTTGGTAATCCCGAACCAGGTACCTACAGTTAAATATATGATCCAGTTGTAGGCATGGTGGATTTTAACCCTCCAGCGTCTGAATGTTAAAAATGCCCAGCCTGAGTAGTTACCTAGTTGCATCTTTTAACCTCCGTTTTTACAGAACAGCGCCTGTTGAAAAAGTTGGCCGCATTTTCAGTGTGCATTTTGGATATCTTTTTGGAAAATGTGAACCTCTTAAACTCTTGAATGGGACCAACTCAATTCCTGACAAAATCGCTATTATTTAATGCCCGCTATTTGGCCCCAGTCCTATTATAAGTCCTATTGAGCTCTTTCCATAAATAAGTTCTTCGTACACTTCACATGTGAACCTGCCACAACGCTATCACTTAGAACCGACTTAATTAGCGGCATAGCGGAGGTCAAGACCAAGGTAAGAACTCAAGTCTGTCAGGCTACAAGAGCAGTGGTCTTAGCCAATTTGTTATACTGATTAGTTGGAAACCTGCGTTTAATGATCGCGTACCTGGCAAAGTGATAATCTTAAAATTCAAAAAGACTTATGATATATATCCCCGGCAAGGATGTGGGAAACAGCTACTCTCATCCATCAGTACTGAAAATGTACACTGATACAGCATTTTGAAGAGAAAGAATTGATCAAAATATTGTATATAACTTGCAATTTAGTAAGTCCACGAATAGGTATTTTAGACACTTTTTTAAAAAGATTTTATTTGGGCAGCCTGGGTGGCTCAGCGGTTTAGAACCTGCCTTTGGCCCAGGTGATGATCCTGGTAGGCCTGGGATCGAGTCCCACATCCGGCTCCCTACATGGAGCCTGTGTCTCTGCCTCTCTGTTTCTCATGAATAAATAAATAAAATCTTTTTTAAAAAAGAGATTTTATTTATTTTGAGAGAGGGAGAGAGAGAGCCCACAAATGAGTGGGGTGCAGGGAGAGAAAGAATCTCAAGCAAACTCCACCCTCAGTACTAGAGCAGAACGCTAGCTAGAGCATACCACCTGAGATCATGACCTGAGCAGAAGAGTCAGACTTTTAACCAACCGAACCACCTGAGTGCCCCAGAGACATTCTTATATGCACAGTAAAGTAGGTACAATGTTTATTACAGCAGTAATGTAATAGTATTACAGCAATGTAATAGTAATACAAAACAACATGAACACCTATCAATAGAAAATATACATATTAGAATATATATAACATAAAAAAATATTTTTAAAAGATTTTATTTATTCACGAGAGACACAGAGAAAGAGGCAGAGACATAGGCAGAGGAAGAAGCAGGCTCCCTGTGGGGAGTTGATGTGGGACTCGATTCCAGGACCCTGGGATCACGACCTGAGCCAAAGACAGACGCTCAACCACTGAGCCACCTAGGTACCCCATAAAAAATATTCTAAAATATATCTTGATATTAAGGCCATAGAAAAAGATCCAAGATTTAAAAAAACAAAAAGAAAGCAAATAAACTTTCACTTAAAATTTCAGTATCATTAACATACAGTGTCATATTAGTTTCAGGTGTATAATATAGTGATTCAACATTTCCATACATCACCTGGTGCTCATCACAGCCCCTGCCTCCCTTGATCACCATCACCTATTTCCCATCCCCCATCCCCCTACCCCTCGTAACCATCAGTTTATTCTCTACAGTTCAGAATCTGTTTCTGGGTTTGCCTTTCTTTCTCTTTTTTTCCCTTTGTTCATTTGTTTTGTTTCTTAAATTCCACATATGCGTGAAATCATTAATTCTGATTGAGTCTCTCTGATTGACTTTCATTAGGTACTTTAGATGAATTTTCTCTAATGCTTCCACTTGCTTCTGTTGTCCCTAATCTATTGATATGCTTCAAATATCTCTCATTAACATAAGCTCCATAAAGGCAAGAACTTTGCTTTTTTAGGACCCAGCACAATGTCATCTACATAGTAGGCAATACTAATTATTAAATAATATAAGATTTCTATTTAAGTATAATCATTTAAGTATTTAAGTATAATCATTTAACTTACTAGCCACTTCCCAACATTTTCAACTTCACGAACTTATGGTTTTCAAGGTATTCAGAGTGTAGAAGGCTTAAAATGAAAAAGTAAAAGTCCACATCTCTACATTATGAACAACTTTATGCCAATAAATTCAGTAACTTAAATGAAATGGTCATTAATGTGTATAAAGTACTTAAAATTATTCAAGAAGACATAGAAAATCTGAATAGCTCTATATCTATTAAAGAAATTGAGTTCATAACTGAAAACCTTCCCACAAAGAAAACTTCAGGCCCAGATGGCTTCATTGTTGATCAAACATTTTAGGAAGAAATAATATAAATGCTTTACAAGCTTTCTAAGAACTAGAAGAGAAAAAACAATTATTTTTTATGAGACAATCATTTACCTTGATACTGAAACTAGATAAAGCTATTACAAGAAAACTATAGGCCAATATTTCCTCATAAGCAATAATTCTTACCGAAATACCAAGAAATCATATCCAACAACATGCAAAAAAAGGAGAATGCATCATGACCAATTGGGATTTACCCAGGAATTTAAGGTTACAGTATAGAGAAAAAGCACATAATCATCCCAAAGGAAGCAGAAAAAAAAAAAAAAAAGAATAGGAAAACCTTCAGTAGTCACTCATCATAAAAACTCTTAGCAAACTTGGAATAGAAAGGGAATTCCTCAGTCTGATAAAGGCCATCTATAAAAACCTACAACTAACATCATACCTAATGATGAAATACTGAATGCTTTTCTGCTAAGATCAAGAACAAGTGAAGAATGAGAAAAGTTTATGACCTCACCGTTTCTGTTAATTATCATCCCAGAGGTCCTAGCCATTACAATAAGGCAAGAAAAGAAATACAAGTACACAGATTGGAAGGGGAGAAATAAAACTGCCTTGATTCAGATGACATCATTATGTACATAGAAAATCCTAAGCGATCTACAAAAGAGCATACAACTGAGTTTGTTTAAATTGCAAGATACAGGGCAGCCCTGGTGGTGCAGCGGTTTAGCGCTGCCTGCAGCCCGGGGTGTGATCCTGAAGACCCAGGATCGAGTCCCACAGCAGGTTCCCTGCATGGGGCCTGCTTCTCCCTCTGCCTGTGTCTCTGCACCACCCCCCTCTCTGTCTCTATGAATGAATGAATAAATAAATAAATAAAATCTTAAAAAATAAATAAATAAATTGCAAGATACAGATACAATAAACTAAAACCAATTGTTTTTCCATGTATTAGTAATAATCAGAAATTGAAATTTTAAAAAATTTACAATAGCATCAAAAGTTATGACATACAATGGTATAAATTAAACATTGCTGACAGAAATTAAGGTAGATCTCAATTATTAGGGAAATATGTCATGTTTGTGTATTGAAAGATTAAATATTGTTAAAATGACAATTCTGCCAAATTGATCCATACATTCAGTGCAATCCCAATCAAAATCTGAGCAGACATTTTTGTAGAAATCAACAACCTGATTGGAAATGCATGTGAAAATGCAAAGGTCCTAGAATAGCAAAAACAACTTTGAAAATTAATATCTAAGGTGGGAAATCTATGCTATCTTATTTCAAGAATCAATGCACAAGAGTCAAGACAGTACCATATTGGCATAAAGATCACATAGATCAATGTAACAAAACAGAGAATCCAGAATAAGCCTACATCTATATGGTTAAATGATTTTTTACAAAGATGTTAAGATAATTCTATTAAGATAAACTTTTCAGCAAAGAGTGCTGAAACAACTGGGGAAAAAAGAAATGTCAACCCATATCTCACTCCATACACAAAAATTATCTCAAATAGATCATAAAACTGCACATAAATGCTAAAACTGTAAAATTTCTAGAAAATATGTGCAAATTTAGGGTTGGCAAAGATTTTTTAAGATAAAACACAAAAAAAACACAAATCATAAAATATTTGATAAATTGGACTTAGTCAAAATTTGAATTTTCTACTCTTCAAAAGATATCATTACCATTAAGAAAATGAAAGGGCAAGCCACAGACTAAAAAAAAATTCACAATACATATATCTGACCAAGAACTTGTAATTCAGAATACATATATACCATAAGATTACTTTACCCACCTAATCCTAAGAGAATGGCTTAAAAGAAAATTTGACAAAAGCAAAGTTCTGGCAAGAATATGGAGCAACATTCATACATTGCTAGTGGGGAGTTAAAATGGCACAATCATTTTGGAAGTCCAAGTTTTGTATTTTCTTAAAAGTTAAACATACATTTATCACAGGACACATCATTTCAGTCCAAAATATTTATCCCAGATAAATTAAAACATATGTACACAAAAAGGCATATATGCAAATAGTCACAGCAACTTTGTTTATAATATAGAATATATTATAGAATATAGAATCTTTTCAAACTATCTA